TTCATAGCCCCCCTCCCGTTTTTCTGCAATAACTTCCAAACCACTTGACCTATCGACGCCAAACTTTCAGTTCCTTCGGCTGCATTAATTTGACACCTTGTGTCAAAATTTGAACTTCGTACCTACCATAGGTCGGTCGGAAATGACGTCAGAGTGACGTCGTGTTCGGCCGATTTCGAAGCAAAACATTGAACCACGGCAATCGCTCCCAAGAGCTCAGTTTTTAAGCTAGATCCAATTTCTTTGCATGAGAGGACTCAGAATAGACTGCGCTAGCAAATTGCTATCTCGGATTTTCGAAATTTTGAAAATTTTATATAATAAAATTCAAAATTTATATTTTTACATTTTTTCAAAAACTTTTTGACTTTTCGATAAAACCGGCATATATGTGATAGAACGCATTATTATGACTAACTCTAGCAAGGTTTAGCTAAATATCTTTAAAAATGGCCAAGTTATACGCATTATTGCAAAAAATTCACAATTATTAATTTTTCAAATCAACTTTTCAGCACGCATTTGACATCGTACGCCAATATAAATAGCACCATCGTGCTCCTGAGCTCAAACTGCATCCAATAGACACCTTTTAATTGAAAAATTTTAACCTTAAAAATTGACCTTTTTTACCTGAAAGTGACCTGACCTAAGCTAAATTTGACTCAAAATGACCTCGAATGACACAGACGACATCAAATTTGAAATTGTTAACCCAAATGGACCATAAAACATGTGTCACGTGACCGACGCATGATATAATATATTCGTGACCTGTGATGACCTGACCTTGACCTGAAAATCAAAGTACTAGTTTGGTACCCTCAGGGTAGCTAGAGCAACTGTTCACGAGTGTGTAAACCAAAAATGAGCCTGATCTGACTTGTAAGACGGCGGCCAGAGCCCAAAACGTGAACAAGCCAAAATGCTAATAATTTTTACTTTGACCTGACCTGTGACGTCATCGGTGACCTCGAGGTCAATGAAATTAGTTTTCGTTCGACAGTTTTTCCGGGGCTATCAGACGCTATTTGAATTTTGACGATCGGCCTAGTAGTTTCGGAGTTAGGAGGGGGGCTATGAAGAGCCCCCCCCCCCCCCAGTAGGGCGTGTTATACGCAGACCCCAGTGGGGCGCGGGTTAAAGTAGGTACAGCGGCATGGTACCATGCCGCTGCCCCGTGCCCGACTAGGTATATCTGACTGCATGAGCAGAGAGCGCTGATATTTAACATTTTTTGTGTCTTTCTAGTAATTTCGTAAAAATTTAGGACTGAACTCTGTCACACTTCATTTGGCATGATCAATAAGTCACCACACCACCTTAACCTTCGCCCCAGTGGGGGGGGGGGGGGGACATAATGTTACCACCCTGCCGCGTTTTTTTTTTTTTTTGCGTGTGAATAAAGCCGCACCGCTTGGAGTAGCTTTTTTACATCAATTTTGGACAATGTGTGAAATTTTTGACCCCAGGTCATGTCAGGTTAGGTCATCAGGTCAAGTTAACTGACCAAGCCCAAAAAAGTTTGCAATCATGTCCAGCCTGCAGTGTTTGTCAGAGAGGTTTCAAACTTTTTGGATTGCATATTGTTATGGGCGCCTATAATTTGTATATCTCGGATTTTTTTTATATCCGTGACCTAAGGTCAGGTCAGTGGCGTGAGCTTTCCATTATAAGTCAATGGAGAAAAACGAAAATGCCTCTAAATCCGTGTGTACGCATAGGAACAGTCCAAATATTTCCAAATCACAATGATTTGGACCACTCGTGACGACCAAGGTGTCGTTTTTGCTGATAGCCTCTAGAAAGGTCATCCGAGGTCATTTGAGGCTACAAGCAGCTTTTTGCCAATAACTCTCGATTGGAAAGAGATAGAACGTTGGGGAGGGCCTCATTGTGTTTGTCTTGCCGAGACCCATCGACTGATATGCAACATGACCTTTTCCGGTCAGGTCATGACCTTGACCTGAGGTCAAATTTTCAAGTTGACCTTTCAAGGTCAAATTATAGTTCATTCGACGCGTCTCGGCGAGAGGAACACGAATCTGGAAATAGAAATGTCGTGGCTTTTTTTAGTCAAAAGTTATGGTCGAAAAACACTTTTCGTAAAAACAGCTATTTTTGGAGTTTTTGTCCTCTGGAGGCTAAACCGTTGACCTGAGGTCAATTTTGATGATATGACCTTATCAAAAGAAGAGTTCAAAAGCTATCGATTGCTTTTCCATGCGTTTTTCTAGCTATCATAGTTCCTGAGATAAATACATGTTTTCTAAAATAAATATAATGACATTTGGCAAATTTTGACCGTTGATGACCTCCAGTGACCCCAATGTTGCTCTAAGATGAAAAATGACCGAAATAATACTTTCAAGCGTACGCATTGAGAGCTATCGACTGCTTTTTACCCCGTCTTTCTAGTCCTCTTAGTTTTTTGAGTTAGAGGTGTGTGGTAACATAAGCCCCCCCCCCCCCCCACTAGGGCGAAGTTGGCCGAGACCTCCACTGGGGCGCGGGTTATCCCCTAAGATAAGATTAGATAAGATTAGATTAGATTAGATTATATATTATATATTATATTATATGATATATGTATATTATATTATATTATATTATATTATATTATATATTAGCGGGTATATATTAGAGTTCAGTGGTAAACCCTCCCATGTGTGTGTGTGTGGGGGGGGGGGGGGTCGGATGGACCCCCCATGGTTTTTTCGCAAATAACTTGCGCAAAACGCGGCCGATCGCGACGAAACTTTCAGTACCCTCGAGTTGATCAATTTTACACCTACTCTGAAAATTTCATGACCCTGACCAAGTGACCTTTGACCTGTGACCTATTTCTCGAGGCCATGTTTGGCCGGAATCGCGATTCGGCGTATGTCGGCTCGCATTAGCCGCGCGTTTGCAAGCTTCTCGTGGTTTCAAACGCTCAAACATGAGATTTGATGTTACTCCCATGCATTTGGGTGGATGTCAAGGTCACCTGAAGGTCAGGTCAGGTCATTGACCTTTGGTGACCTCGGTTCACTTTTTCGAGCTGTACATGTTTCTAGGCTATTTTTGGAGCTGAATTCGAATTTAGCAACCATTTGAACATTTACGGAGTAGTTTTGGTGCCTTCGTAGCATGTTACGAAGCTGTCAGAGGCGGTTGACACGTCCCAGCCAGCCTTCCCAAGTGGGGCCCACGTGGGCCCCAAGTGGGCACCAAACTGGGACCCATCTGGGCTGCCCACCTTGGACCCAGATGGGAATGTCATGGGCGTCCAACTGGGTCCCATCTGGGCACCCCAGACGGGGCCCATGTGGGACCCATCTGGGGCCCGTATTGAGCCCGCATATGGGCTTTCCCAGTTGGGACCCACATGGGCAGCCCAAGTGGGGCCCATATGGGACCCAGCTGGGATATATGCATATATTTGGGTCCCACACGGGCTTTCCCAGTTGGGACTCGTCTCACACGGACACATGCAAAAAGCGGACATGGAATTTAATTGGGATTTGGTACCTAGCTTATGCGTCCACTATTTCCGCGTGAATCCCAAAAAGCAATGTGGTCACACGTGGGAGAACCGCGTACCCTTTGCCTATCACTAGATCCCCAGAGATTCGAACTCAAGACCTATGAAACATGATGCGGGGACCCTAATCACTACACTACGCTACCACTGCAGGTTGGCGGCCGGCGGCCAGTAGAGAACGGAAGCGTGGATGCGTACCGATTGTAAAAAGGAGAAGAGTTTGTAACGATAGTGATAGAGGCCCGCGCGGTCCGTCAGCGCCGTATTGCGTCTATTTATAGTCACCAACTGCCGGCGCGGCCGCCCCGCGACCGCGCCACCACACAACCACGGTAGATAAAAATACTAGGTAACGCCGAGAATTTCCTTCAACATGGACCCTATTGGTTCACATTCCTGGCATTCCATTAGCAGCATTTACATTTTCAAAATCGATAACTACACTACAGAATTCGCCCAAACTGGCAAAAAAGCCGCATCTTTTGATTTCATTGGTGAATTATTTATTTCTTGCCCATCTAAATTTTACTTACGCAGAAAAGTAATTAAAATCAGGCACTTAAAAAGCCTTTTTGCCAGCGTCGATTTCGTGAAATCCAAAGATTGGGTTGATGATATTAGGACACTCGTAATTTCAAAATCGCTCAGAGATTTCAATAAGGTACAACAATCCCCTCAAATAAGATGTTAAGGTTAATTAAAATGCGGAAAACCCTGGGGCACCCTCAGCCATCACCTCCTATTTTCCAGTATTTCAGCTATTTTCTTCGCTAAAGAGGTCTTGCTTTGATGATTTTTTTACTTCCACAAAATCCTCAGTTATTAATTATTTCAGCTATATGGTCAGTAACCACTCAGTTAGATGTTATCGGCTATAACTGACCCTTTCTTACAAAAATTTTGCTATGAAAAAAATGATAAGTACTAAGGAATTCGCCCAGTTTCGAGACCATGGGCTTCCGTTTGATATTTTCTCAGCTGAATCTAAATAAAATACTAGAAACAATTTTAACTGCATTGACGTTTTACCAAAGTTTAGATGTTAAGGAATCACAAATTGGAAATAAAATATTATAGAATTTCGTCAGCCGTAGAGAAAGCATGCTCCTATTGTTTTGGAGCTGCGTCTCGTGCGTCTCGTGTGCGTCATTTCCGCCGCACCGCCAAAACATGAGAAGTGGGGAGGGGGTCACGAAGCTATCAATTATAATTAAATTAACTCGTTCAGGTGAGACAGAAGTTGAATTTCGTGTTTGAAATCAGATATGTATTCATATCAGTTAAACTTTGAAATATTTTTCCATTGGTTGTGGCAATTGTGCTTGCTGTTGCGTGAAATAATAGGTATGCCTGGTTACATCGCATTTTTGACTAGGCTTTAGCTTATTTATTTTGTGATAATTTCCATACAGTGATCTTCGCATATTTAGAGGGGATCATTCTGTAAATTGTTCAGCACCATTGCCATCTTTTGCAAGATAATGGATGAAGCCAACAAGGCCCTAAAAACAGATGGAGCTTGCAACGATCTCTATGTAAACACGGCTATTGTCCTTTTAGCAGCACAAAAAAAAACAAACAATACAAACAAAGAAGGCAAATGTAAAGATAAAGTCCTAAGAAGATTTCAAGGATAATGTTATTCATATTCTTACATTATTTAACATCCTGAATCCTAAAATGATACTTACGTGTCTCGCAAATAAAAGAAAAACAATCAAACCTGACCTTACCTTACCTACTTACCTATAACCTACCAACCTACAACCTACAACCTAACAACCTACAACCTAACAACCTAAAACATACAAATCTACAACCTAAACTAACCTAAAACCTGAAATTTCTGTTGTTGCATATCAACAGTGTCACAATTGTAGTTAGGACTTCATGTTGACAAATACCAGAAAGAAAATAATAGCCGACAATGTCCTACATTTTACCAGCTACAAGAATTAGAAATGATATTATTTTTGAGAAGTGCTTTAGCTTGTGATGTAATAACATCCAAATATAAATAGGTATGCGCCCCCATATGAGGGTGCATATTTGGCTTCACATGGCTCAGGCAACCTCTCCATAATGGCCATTCTTTGTATGACACCCACACTGAAAGTGCATCTTTGCTGTAGTTATTGCTGACATGCATTCTCATGTTTGCAGGACAATCTCCTATCATTTATGAAGAAACCAGGGTTATTTTGAAAATATATCACTCAGAAAAAGCAGCAAGCCTATAATTCTGGCCAGTTATCAATGGGTAAGTTTATTAATAAGCAAAGGTTTCCTCTCTTTCTTTCTTCAAACACATGAATGTCAGTGAGGTCAGCCTTCTGGTGGTACAAAAGGAAGCAGTCACTAAATATTTACAAACTTTTGGTTGTGCTTTGCATTGTTATCATTTTCATTTAGAAGCACATGTTCACATTGCTCATTGTCATCTCAGCAAATATGAATTGCTTTAAATCATCAAATTTGAGTCAGTTAGTTGTGCAATCAGCATAAAATGTTCATGCAGTTGAAAATATGAAAAATTGTTGACTTTCCTGGATATGGTTGAGTCATCAACAATGACTTGAGCCTGGAGTACTTGGGTGGCCAGTGGTGTTGGGTTGCTGTGAGCATGTGCTATTCTTTATTATTGCAAATAATACTGAATGTATACAATATATGTTGTATGGTGCTCCATTATTCTTATTAAGCCCAATGTTAACTTTTTTGTTCTGTGTGGAATCAATGCAGGTTGTATTTTTAGTCATGACAAGGTTCACTGGCAATTGACTTCAGTGTGCATACCTTTTGAAACCACTTTTGTTTGTTTGTTTTCAGATTAGAGAAATGAGCTTATCAAACAGCACGAATCCACGATGCTGGCGGTCTAGGCCAGTAGCCAGCTTCAGCTTCTGGCGATGGAAGGGGCCTTCGGCTGATGCAAGACAGCCCTGGCCCCTGCCAGCCTGCCCCGCCACTGGTGACGAGCGCTAGCGCGTCAGCGACCGCCCGAGCGACTCTGATCATCAAGCTGTGCAAGTAATGCTCTACCTGCTGATCTACCACCGAGGGCTCCGCGCCGGCCGCATCCGAAGGAGGATGCGCCATGTACTGCGCAGCCGAGGAGACCTACTGGCCACTCGTGAGGCCTACAATCTGCATGACCATCGAGTACGTCCGAGGCGCTCTTTCTCCCAAGCCACCTGGGTATGGACGGACGGGCCGGCTGACGCAAGAGTCCGCAGCGGAGGGGCCGGGGCCTTGGCCAGCTCTGCACCAGCTAGAGCGCGGAGATGGCTGCGCTCCGCTCAGCCATCAGCGCGACCACCTGTGGCACCTGAGCGCCCCGGTCGTCTTTTGCACAGGCTCCCAGGCGGCGCTCGCGACACTGAGGGAGGGCCCAGCCACACAGAAAACCTCGATGGGCGCCGCCGTGTGGACGGGGCTGGCAGTCTTGTTCCGCCAATTCCACCTGCAATTGATGCCGTCCCATTCCGGCATAGATGGTAACAAGGCGCCGACCAGGCCGCTAAGGAGCCTCGAGCGCGAGCCTCGAGCGCGGAGGCGGCCCCGCTCCCCCAGGCGACAGTCCCGGGGGATGTTGGCACTGCCCACCGCGCGGCCATCAGATTGGCCCGCCACTGTGCCACCGCCGCCTGGCCGGACAGTTGGTGCCAGTTTCTGATGGGGGGGGGGGGGCTGCCTGCCGCCGCTAGCGGTTGCGGAGTACCGAGCATCGGCTGCCGATCTCTACCGGCTTCGTACGGGCCAGTGGTTGGGCTTCCGCCAGTATCTTCACTGTATAGAACAGAACCCTACTGACGAACGCCGCCAGCGCTCCGACATCGACTCCCCCCCCCCCTCCCCCATCACCTATTCTTTCGGTGCCCAGCCCTCATATGACGGAGCCTCCGTCGATTCGGCACCGTCTTCCTGAGCCCCGAGGCGGTCCGTGAGCCGTGAGGACGAAGAGGTGGCGGCCCTGACGACCGCCGTGAGAAACCTCGAGAGCTGTACCATTACGCCGCGGTAGCGGCTGGAGGAAGCAACGACAACAACACTGAAGGTCACAGCCGCCGCGTGGTCCCGTGCGGTGGCGTGCTGGCTGATCGTAAAATGCCCACGCCGCGCGGCGGTCCTGGCAGTGGTGGACCGGGCTGTGGTCCAGTCGTAGCCCGACTAATGTTCAGATTGGCGAGGTCTGCTAAATGCCGCCGCGCGCCGTCCGTGCTCCGTGACCGGGACCTCGTCCGCCCACTCCCTCTCCGAGCTGACTGATACGCCGATGATACTGCCACCCTCAGCGCCGGCGCGACGATCCAGACAGCACTAGCTGCAGCTCAGCACTCGGCGGACCTCATGGTGGGGTGGGCGGCGCGCAACAAGATGACGATCGCCAGCCAGAAAACGCAGATAATGGTGTTGTCCCAATGGAGTCGGGACGCCAAAGATGCCGTCATCAAGGTATCGGACGTTCCTGTCCGTGCGACCTCCACCATCAAGCTGCTTGGGGTCACGTTTGTTTGACAGGCTGCTCCATTTTGGAGAGCACTGCACCAACCTCAAGAGGAAGGCTCGCCCTCGCACCACCCAGCTGCGCAAGCTCACAGGACACTCCTGGGGACTTCAGGAGCACCACCTACGCGCGGTGGCCAACGGCTACGTCCGCGGCGCCATCGAATATGCGGCGGCCGCGTGGCTCCCCGCAGCATCCCGCTCCCACCTGGAGCTGGTGGACCGGGAGCTGCGCGCAGCGGCCCGCGCCGTGACGGGGTGCCCCAGGTCAGCGCCGACCCACGCTCTCATGGCGGAGGCCGGCCTGCCCACCGCGGAAATGCGACGCGCCACCCTCGCGACGAGGTTGCTGGCGCGCGCATCCGCACTACCCGCCGGAGATCCGCTCCGGGAGCTCGCCGAAGCCTCACGTCCCTGCCGACTCCGCAACATCACAGGATGGCGCGACGAGGGCAGACGGACGCTGGACGCCCTGGGCGTCACCGCCTCCCAGGTGGAACCCATGGTCGTTGCACAGCTCCCACCGTGGACCTCAAGTGAGGGGATCACGATTTCCTGTGCCGTTCCGCCCGACTGCGTCCGTCGCCGCGCGGCAGTGGAGGCCATGCTGGCCGACCTCCCCGGAGCAGAGCGGGCGACGTGGGTGTGGTCTGACGGCTTGGCGGAGGGAGGCACCGTGCGAGGAGGGGGCGGCGCCCTGATCGTCCTCCCCGCCGGAGCCGAGTGGACGGTCAAGACCCCCGCCGGCGCCCTATGCTCCAGCACCAGAGCTGAGCTGGTGGCCCTCCGTGCTGCCCTGGAGGAGATTGCCGAATCAGACCTCACACCGGACCAGGACACTCACCCGGACACCATCATCGTCTGCCTCGACTCCAGGGCGGCACAACAGACAGTGGATGCGGGACCGGCGGCGCAGACGAGCCAGCTAGGCGACGCTATCTGGCGGCTCCTAATGCAGCTGGCCAACCGCGGTCGCCGTCTCCACCTCCAGTGGGTCCCGGCCCACTGTGGTCTGCCGGGCAACGAGCGGGCCGACATGCTGGCGATGGAGGCCGCCGAACTCGAGCAGACCAACGCCCCCCCCCCCCCCCCTGGATGTCAAGAGCATCACCCGCGCCGCCGCCAGGTCTGCGCGCCGATCATGGCAGGAGAGCCTGCCCGGCGGCTGGTACCGCTCTATCTTCCCGGATCGGACCCTGCCTGCACCGTTGCGACTCGACAGCAGAGAGGCAGCGGTGGATATTCACCAGCTACGGGCCGGCCACTGGAGCGTATCAACACAGTACCTCCACCGCATCGGCCGCCGGCCGACCCCCGACTGCCCCGGCTGCATGGACACCGCCTGCCCTGCCGCTCGGTGTCTAGTGTGCGGGGAGGAGGCGGACACCCCGCAGCACGTCTTGCTGCGCTGCCCGTGCCTGTGCGGGGCCCACCTGTGGCTGGCGCGATGTCTGCCCCGATATGCTGATTACTCGACGTGCCCCGCTCCTCGATGGAGCATGTATGGACTGCCTCATTGCCGACTACTGGCAATCCTTGAGTCCTAATTGTCCCCTAGACAGAGGGCTGCCGTTGGGGACCGGGGTCGCGTTATGCTCCTGCTGCTAAATTAACAGGCCACAGGGTTACTCTTAAAATGGAGTGGTTGCTGGATAGCGTAGGACATATCGGGCTTAAATAATATTTATGAGATCTGCGCTAGGAGCAACATTTTTACTCGTGCCAACAATCATTCAATGCGTCAGGTACAATTATGTTGTTGACTGAATTGAATGTGTGTAAGGATATGTATGAGTTGTACTCGTAATTTTATTGTGTCCTGTATTTGTTCATGAGTTGTGTGAGGGTCAGTGAACTCTCTCCTGCGTGGCCTTAGTGATCCGAACCGGGTTTTTGACGTTCAATAAACGACCGATGATCTATATCGATTTATTTCTACTTGTGAAACTGTGTCACATTACCTGCGTATAATAAATGCAGTGTGAAGAGACATGGTTTGCTCGAATGAGTATTAAACGGAGGCGTGGGTTGCGCTCGCTACCTTCAATCATTGGCTGACTGATCCTAGTTTGGTTATTGTGAGGACATTGCTTAAGACTTCCTGGATTTCTGAAACATTTCTGATTTCCCGATCGGAAAATGTAAATGTTTCGCCACTGGTTTCAATGGAGTATACACGAGTTCACAAATGGAGTTCGGGTACGCGGCGCTTCACCGTAGGAATCACAACAGTTTCCTTTTCGTCATATATTCTAAAATCGAAACCTTCCCAAGAATCAAACCGTTTGGAGTCATGGCGTAGCAATATTTTCGGGCTATGTATAGGTATTGTAGATGTTCTTCGTGACCGGTGCTTATCCAAACTCTGGCTTTCAATCAGAAATGAAGTTGCGAATGCACATCAAAATAGATAAAGGACTAAAATATCGACTCTTCTTATTATGAAAGTAATAATCTGTTACTTAATCTCAATAGTAAATAGTTCAAGCATTCGGATCCATTCTTGTGGCATGTGATGATAGTAGGTATTATTTACTAGCCACGACTAAACATGGAAAAAAGTGAACCAAGGCACCCCCAAAGTCTGATCTAAAATTATTTTTATTATTTTTATTCTTTTAGAATGTAGATAATAAAAATTGTAAATGTGGTGAAGTAAAAAGAAAATTATCTATATGTCAATTTAAATAAACAACTCAAGAAATCCAACACTTCTAACTCCATTTCCCAAAAATATAATTTACTAGCCACGACTTACTCCGTACAGTAAGAAAAACAAGGTGTACCCGTAGATGACGCAGTTCAAAAGCAGCAAACACATAATCAGTTGGCGCTGTTTTCCCGTTGAAAATGCTCACGGTGCCCGCCTGCACACAACGAATGCCGGCGACACAGTATTAGCGACCTCGCAGGGACGCGGGCAGGGGTGTGCCCAGGCAGTTGTCAGATCAGGAGTCTGATAGGGTAGCGGCACAGATCAGGCAGAGTAGCGGCACAGTGGAGGCGCTGGCCAAGTCCAGCACGTAAAGTTAGCACATCTAGCCCATCTGGGGCCCAGTTGGACGCCCATGACATACCCAGATGTAGCCCAGCCCACATTCGCCCAGATGCCCCACTTCCAGCCCATGTGGGCCCCATTTGGGATGGCTGGCTGGGGTACTACGCGAAGTCCCGTCACGACCCCTACTGGTTGACCTGACCTGACCTGACCCGACCTGGTCTAAATGCATGATGACATCATCTCTGATCAAAACTAACACGATATTCGTGATCAGCACCCCGAAAACCCCTTAGCAGCCACACTTTACGACTTTCTAACAGGTCCCGATTTTCCCGACTTTGGGTCATTGACCTGACCTGGAAGGTCAACCAATGATCTAAGACCTTAAAATTGGTTATCAGTGGCTTCCTCTCTTCACGGGCAACACGCTCGTTTTTTTTTTTCGCGAAGCTCTAGCTCGATCAGGGACCAAACGGCAAGGGGGGGGGGTCCAACCGACCCCCCCCCCCCTACACATTAGAAGCTGGCAAACGCCGCACACATGCGAGTATTAAGACACCCTTCTCGGTGCTATTGCCTAACTAAATTAGTATGAAACTTACTTTTTCGGCTGTCGGTGTCACCACTGACCGGCCATTGCCTGTTTGTGTGTGTTTGGACCTACAAGAGTGGCCGGTCGCCGGGTAGGCATGGAAGGCCACCGGTCACGTATACCGCGTGCGGGGCCACTTCCCACACAATTATTGGTGACATAGTGTCGCACAGGGTTCCGCTAACAAGCACCGCGGTGATATGCGCTCCAATTATGGTATTCGCTGATAAAATTACACGGCAGTCGGTGGCAGGCTGTCGCACATTCCGCCTGTCAATTGGCTATGTCAATGTATGTACCTAGGCATGTGTTAAGGCCGCCCCACACTGGAACTCGCATGCGGGTTGCGAGTTTTTGGGTTTTCGGGTTTATTCAAAATCAAATGATACAATCTAAGCTGAGTGACCCACACTACCATCTAACAAGCGAGTCTGCATGTTTTTAGCTTGCGAGCGACCTTGCATCGCATTCCAAAAGTTGATTTTGAGTCAACTTTCGATTTTCCTCGCTGCGAGGTCCACTGGCGGATCCAGGCTTGCGTTTTGGGGGGGGGGCCAACTCATGCAGGAGCCAAACCTAGGGTACCCCCAAATCCTGTTTTCTCATCGGATTTAGGCCACTTATTTTTCTTCACAGCCCTGACACTATGAATATTTTTTTTTTTAACTAAAAAGAAAAATATATAAATGGTAGCCCACCCGACCCATGCCTTTATATTACTTTGTAAGCACTTACCATTGCTTTTGTCGACCAGTTAACCCGCTTCGAGTCAGTGCTTGGCTCCATTTGCGGGCCGGAAGGTGGTAAAACACCCCCTGTCTAACTCGGCTCTTGGGCCTCGCACTGATTGAACTATGTTTCATTATCGTTTGGTGGAGGGGGCAAACGGGACACTTAAGGCCTCTGGGAAGGGGGCATGGCCCTAAATGCCCCCTCCCTGGATCCGCCAGTGTAAGAGACCATTGGAGCTGCAGTTGGGTACCTCAGACGTCAGGGTACGCCCTCAGATGTATAGGACTCGCATGGAGACCTCTTATGCTATAGTGGACTGAAAGGACCCAAAGGAGCCTGTCTAGGGCTCCCGGAGATAGACGTGGGCCCTCGGGAGTCCGCCAGAGCCCCCAATGAGGGATAAAAGAGGGATACCAAGTGCCTGCAATTGCATATTGCATAAGCCATAACGCCTTTACAAATCAATATACATTATGTATCAGTGGCAGATCCAAGGGGGGCCACATGGGTCATGACCCCCCTTGGTACGCCCGGGGGAACCACAGGCCTGTCAGGGGCATCACCAGCCCGCCAGGGGCACCACAGGCCTAGCAAGGGCACCACGGGCCTGTGAGGGGCCCCACAGGCTTGTCAGGGGCACCAGAGGCCTAGCAGGGGTACCACAGGCCTTACAGGGGCACCACCGGCCTTGCAGGGGCACCTTGGGCCTGTCAGGGGCACCACAGTCCTGTCAGAGCCCAGGGGCACCAGTGGCCTAGCAGGGGCACCACAGGCCTGCCAGGGGCACCACCGGCCTCGCAGGGGCACCATGGGCCTGTCAGGGGCCCCACCGGCCTCGCAGGGGCACCACCGGCCTGGCCTCGCAGGCATCACGGCATCACGCAGAGGCACCTTGGGCCTGTTGGGGGCAGCACGGGCCTGTTGGGGGCACTTTAGGCTTGTCAGGGGCACCACAGTCCTGTCAGGTCTCAGGGGCATCATCAGCCTAGCAGGGGCACCCTAGGCCCGCCAGAGGCACCACAGGCCTGCCAGGGTCCAGGGGCACCACAGGCCTAGCAAGGGCACCACGGGCCTGTAAGGGGCACCTCAGGCTCCCGTGCCCCCCCCCCCGGATCCGCCAGTGATGCCACACCACGCGAAACACCGCCAACTACCAGCTGCCGCGCCATAAACACGTGCCAACAACAGTCTTTTTTTGAAGGTCGACTCCGCTCGCGCAACTTTTGACTGATCCTCACTGCTACCATATTGCTTCCATATTATGCTGTGGAAAGCTTTACTTCACCAAGTGGCTAAAAACCTCTATCAAGGTATATTTTCTTAGCAATTTTTCCGACGTTTTGGGGGGGGGGCCAAACAGGCCACTTTAGGCCTTTGGGGGGGGCCATGGCCCCCGTGGCCCCCCCTGGATCCGCCAGTGGCGAGGTCTGCGAGGTCTGCGAGGTTTGCGGGTTTTTCGTTGGAGTCGAATTTTGGTTCGTTGCGATGGTATTGCGACTATATGTAATTTTCTGAAGGTGTACCGGCTTCATTGCATTCATAAAGTTACCATAAGGGAACGATCTAATCACTCTATGAATTAGTATTATGCCCGCAAACTCAAAACCCGCAAACTCGCAACCCGCATGCGAGGTCCAGTGTGGGGCGGCCTTTAGTGTTTCCCTGGACATTGTCACCAACACCCCGCGCCCTCTGCGTTGCTCTGCGTTGATGTAAATAAACTTATAACTTCATTGCATTCCGGTATTGCCATTGTTATTGCTCTCTCTCTCTCTCTCTCTCTCTCTCTCTCTCTCTCTCTCTCTCTCTCTCTCTCTCTCTCTCTCTCTCTCTCTCTCTCTCTCTCTCTCTCTCTCTCTCTCTCTCTCTCTCTCTCTCTCTCTCTCTCTCTCTCTCTCTCTCTCTCTCTCTCTCTGTCTCTCTCTCTCTCTCTCTCTCTCTCTCTCTCTCTCTCTCTCTCTCTCTCTCTCTCTCTCTCTCTCTCTCTCTCTCTCTCTCTCTCTCTCTCTCGAGTCGACACTATACCCCTCCTTCGAACTTCTCACACATGTCCTCTCACCCCAGCACCCTCCTAAAACAGCCTCATCTCCAGCGGCCCGTGCCACCATAGCCTGCATTTGCCGACGCGCTGTCACGAGACAGGGACGCTGCACGGGCACGAATCTCCCCGCTCGTGGCGGCACGTGGCGCGTGATCGGCGACTCGTGCGCGGCGGCCGTCACTTCCGGAACAATCATGGGGGGCACGTGCGGCGGGCCAGCCGTCATTAGCGGGGTAATTAATAGGGGGGTACGGCGGCGGCACGCTGGTGTTTGACCGGGTCGCCGGGGGAGGAGCGGCGGTCCACACGCAGCCCCGCGTCATATCACACACCGCGATGGGATGGTGAGCCCATCACGCGCCAACTCCCACACTGCGATGGGGTAGGAACTGGAACGGGTGATAAGGGGTGCTATCAGATAAGTCCCTCTGTGTATGGGACGTTTTACGCTCAAACCACTCTGGGTTGGAGTCAAAGGCTGTCGTTTGTGTCGGTATAAAATTGTGGTATGAGACGGCAGAGAAAAAATTGATGAATTTAATGGCAGATACTAGGA